GAAAAGGCTACTCCTGTTAATGAAGTAGGGAACAACCTCATTTTATGGTAGTCGGTTACTTCACCACTCTGCAGTGTGAATCGCTCTATATGTTCTAGAGTAGTTACTTCTCCTAAACCAGTGAATAATGAAAATTCTAGCTTGAACTACCCAATCAGGATATGACTTCGTATAAGTAGGCCTGATGATAGAACATACCCCAAGAGCCATTTGATCATGCACTATCTCCATGATTTGATTCTTCAACATAACATTGGAATCATATGGAATTCCTACGGGGTTGGTTTAATGGTTGATTCGCTTGAGGCCCAACATTTGGTCCTTGGTTGCAACAAAATTGTCACTGTTTGGGCCATTATTACCATTAAACTGAGTGTTTAAACCATCATTAATACGTGGGGCGTTCTGTCTATCATTCAGGACATTATCTCTTATAATTGAATTACCTTCGAGGTTGTTAATCCCATTACCACTATTCGAGTCTGGCATCCCATTACCCACTGGTTTGAAGTAGATGGACCAAATGGTGATTCTAGTCCTTGATTTAAGTTTAAACCAGAAGAATTATGTGGTGAATTATGTCCCACAATTGTCCTGGCTTGAAAGTGATTTGCAACAAGCATAACTGGCTGACATATTTGGCCTACAAACTTGTTCATTATCTCATTTAATGTATTCAGTTATTTGGCCATATTATCATAATGTGCATTCCGACTTTGGGTAAATCTTTCCATATTATGAACATTTCATAAATTTACCTGTTCAACGACATCCTATGTGAGTTCGCTGAGCAATGCACGCATGGTTCGAGAACTCAACTCTGTCGTTGGTTCGTAACGACTGTGGCTGCTTTGACTTTGTCCCTCTGTTCATGGAGAGTTTTACTGTTCCTCATATCGCTCGATTACAGACTGGACTACTCCTTGACTTGCTGGTTCCTTATCAGAATGTTTATGAGGCATAATGCTTCATTTTTTGTATTTTCAACACTAAACACCAATGTCCCACTGGGTGTGCCAAATTGTTTCGCGCCGGTAGTCGCTAACAATTAAAAAGGAACTTCAGATGATTATGTAAGAGACAAACCTCTTGAGACAAAGTCCTAAAAAGTGGTGCTTTATTGATGAGAGTTACGACTAGAAATAAACAAAATGTTCTAAGGGGCGCAAGCACACGAGTACTGAAAAAAGGATAATTAAAGTTAGAGCTTGTTTGGGAGAGATTTTTGGGGGAAGAATTGATTTTGAATAGTGATATGATGGGAAATGTGTGGTTGAATAAGAAGAAAAAATTATTAATGTGATGGAAAATATTATTTTATTGAAAAATGTGTGGTTGAAAATGAGAATTGATTTACTGTAGAAAAATTTAATCCCTCCCAAACAGGGCCCTATTCTAAAAAATTGAAATTACATATTCTCTGTTTGAGAGTGTTTGATTCGGGATCCTTTTCTCTATGTCTATTCTTTCCTTTTATATTCCCATGATGATTTCTTCGTGACAAACAGCTTGAAAACTGCTACCCATTTTCTTCATGGTGGCTAACCTGCCATGGAACTGTCATCTCTAACTGCTGCCATTATTCTTTATCGTTCAACTGCCTTCAAATGGGCTCCTTAAATCGTGGAATGTGATAATCGGCTTGATAACTGTTTCAGTAACTGCTATTCTAGATGACTATAATATCTCAAGTATTAAGATTATGGGCGACTCGAAGGTTCCAGCGAAAACGAGGTTGTCGCTCTGAGCGCAGTGAGACACTCTATTCGTCCAAACTCTGGATGTCTTGCAGGCTTGGGCGATGATGCTACTGTATTCGTGGGCTTTCTCTGCATTTACTAATGACCTCGTTTAGGCCTTTATTCTGAATTCTCCAAGTGGGCTTCACTCTTTGGGCTATTCAATTTGAGCTGTACTTTTAGTGTGTCAACAAGTTCTTTACAATTAGCAAGTTGGATAGGTAGAAACGAACCTGACTAAGAAGTGAAAAGTGATTTTTGTAGCCAATCTAAATTTATTGGTCTAAATATGATTTAGATGGCAAATCTATTTGTGATTTTTATTTTTATTTTTTTTAGTTTTTTGCGTTGAAATGAATATCCATAATTCAGTGGAATGTTTTGCACGGTCATACCAATTTATTGAAGGATTATGCCATTTGTGCGGTGATTTTTTTACGCCATTGTTAACATTTATATTGTTAACAAACAATTGGATTAAAAAAAACTATTTTTTTAACTGTCAAAATAGATAATGCCATGTGACAAAGTATAAACAATATTAGTGTACACCATGATGTGTAAGCATGATTGGTTAACGAAGGTGTAGAGCCATGAAGAGTCCAATGCAGGCATAGGGAGGCAAAAAAACTCGTTCTGCCCGAAACATGTGAGGGCCCCGCGACGTTTCGAAATATGTAGGACAGCGCCTAATCGGGTAAACAGGGGTGGGGACGGGGCGAGGGTCATTGCCTCGAAACGGCCACGAGGAGAGTACGGGAATCATAATCCCCGCCCCCGCTACACGTCCTGTTTAAAATTAATTTTAAATTCAAGTTTTTTGTCAAACAAAAATAATAGATTTATTATATTTTTTAAAGAGAACATAAGTTGTTTCTAACAATTTGGTAAAAATGTAATAATATTTACTAAGTAAAGATATAAAAAAAAAAATAAAAGCAAAAAATAAAATAAATAAAAAGAAAAAATAAATGAGGTATGTCTCTATCCCACCCCGAACCTGTCTCACCCAGTCCTATCCCGCTTTGAAAAGATATGAGGATGAGGTAAGGAAACAAAAATACTCGATGAGACAGGAGTAGAAATGATCGACTCGTCTCATATCCGCCTCGTTGCAATCCCTATGCAGGCAAGTGTGTGCGGTGAACTTTGGGCTCAGACCCATTGCCTTTATGTTTGCCACAAGAAAGGAGATTGAAGGACTCTACCTCAAACCAGTTTGCAGTCTTTGTTTCTGTGGATTTTGAATCGAATAATCCATCTGGATCAGGTTTGAAGTAGTTAGTCTTGATCTCCTACTGCTCATTCGCCAACATATCAGCATAAAATTGGGGAGTAAAAATCGAAGAAACCCCTCCACAGAGCAGCTTTTGAACCCTCCGGAACCTCTTCCAATCAATTGCGGCTTGCTAAGCAACTGAGTGGCTAGGTGCCGGCGTCATTTTCTCGATGGAGACTTTCCCATCGATTCTCGCATTAACACGAAAGTTGTCATCGACCGAGAAATCTACTCCATTTTCAAGGTATAACCTAAATTAATCTCTCAAGTATGCATGAGCGAGCTCCATGCACAGTCCTAGAAAAAGATCATTTCTATCAAATTTGGTTGTACTTCAAGCTTGATAATTTCTTTCCCTTAATCCATAGCTGAATATGCTGTTGTCAAGTCTTGGTTTCCCATTTTATCCACCTAATGTTTGATTTTGTACGAACAAGGAAAAACTGGTATTTTATTTTCTTGATGTTTCCAAGTGAAGGGAAAAGTTATCAAGCATACTTGTAAGCTGTGTTCGGGGGAGTTATTATGTATCGTCGGCTTCTAATCAATCGGGGGTAGGCCTAAAAGTTGATGATTTACGTTGCGGCAAATGTCAGTGCTTGCCACAAGATTACTTGGACCAAAAGGTAAATCTTAATTCATTGGACTATATTCTAGGAGTCGAACTATGTGATTGAATGAGTGATCTATCTCTTGCAGATTCGTCCAACAATATATAATACTAGTTACTACTCCCCGATGAGGATAGAAAGTAATCCCCATGGACTAGAAAGAACTGAGAATTCGAGGCCTCTTTCCCTTGAGTTCTCTTTTGAGTTCAAAGTTCGATCTTGATTAAATTGTGTTCACACTGAACAATGTTTCTGATTACGTCCCTAGGTTAACACACAAGAAAGTACAGAATATTGTAAAGAGAAACACAAGGTCTGACCTTCAATATACAAAGAAAAAGGGAAAAGAGCACCCTCATTGATAATTTACGTCTTAACTTAAATTGAATTTCGATGGATTTAAGATTCCTCGTACCAAATGTAGGTTTGGATAGAGTCAAGATGGGAGATAATTCATCCCATCCATTTGACCCCTCAACATATCAAGATATTCTACTTTAATAGTATAAAATGTATAATTAAAAATAACTCAACAAAATATTCTACTTTAAGAAACATGTCTATATATTTGAGATAAGAGAAAAATGAAATTCAATCTATATAATTGGGACGAAAGGAGTAATAATTTTCGAAAAACAAGCTAGATTTAGGCATTTAACCTTTGATAAATTAAAATCAGATGTTTACTAAGAGCGTGTTCGGTAGAGATTAAAATCGGATTAAAATTGAAAAATTAACTGTTACTGTTGATTTTTATTAGACGAGTGAGACCCAATAACGGTCATATTTTCAATTTTGATTGAATTTTAATCGAAAACAAACAGGTTCTAAATTTTTATCTATGTGCACTTTAAAAATAGGGGAAATCATAAAATATTTGATTAAAATTTTAAAACTTATTAACTTTAACTAAAATTAAAATCTATTTTATTTTTCGAACCAGAACTAAGTAGAGATGCCTTGATTTCATAATCTTAAATTTTTTTTATTATTTTACATTTACAAATTCAACTCAAAAATTAGATTATCTATATTCAATTGAGAATAGGTGCTGCATTGGAATATTATTTTTTCAAGCTATCATTAGTCCAATGATATTGTGTAAAATAGTAGAGCATGATACACTTTTGAAGCAACTGGATATTCAAACGCTCACTAGCTCAACAAGATCATTATCCACACTGAAGAATAAAATTACGAACCTTACGGAATAGGCAGCTAATTTGCAAAAACCTCAATCTACTTCATTCCACGGAATTCTTGTAAATATTGATTTATACAGATAAACAAAGTAAAACTGCGATTTAAGATCTCAATAAAGACGGTGCCAAGAAACAATAAACCCTAACAAAATATAATTGAAATTACTGATCAAACATAACCTGAAGTCAAGGTCAAAGGTAGTCTACCGCCGCCGCTTCTGTAACCACGGTCACCACCGCCGTATCCGCCACGTCCACCGCCTCCATAGCCACGACCACCGCCATAACCTCCATCACGGCGTTCATAGCCACCGCCACCTCCACCGTAACCTCCCTCACGTCGGCCTCCACGAAATCCGCCGCCGCCTCCTCCTCCTCCGCCTCCGCTGCCGCGGGACTGCGCCTCGTTTACGGTTATATTACGGCCATCAAGATCCTGGCCGTTCATCCCCTCGATGGCATCTCTCATCGATTGCTCGTCCTTGAAGGTCACGAATCCAAAACCCCTCGATCTACCGGTCTCACGGTCATTCACGATCTGTTCCGAAAGATTAACAATTCAGTCAGATCTAAACAGATCTAGAGGTAATAAACTAAAACACTAAACAAATATAAATAAAACTGAAAAGCAATTCGATCTTCATCCCTTTAGTTAAAAAGAGGAAGATGGAACGTACCGTTTCAGGAGTAATAATAGTAACAGAAATAGTAACAGTAACATGAGTAACATTAGTAACAGTTTAGAGGTCGACAAAACCGAATCGGAACGGATCCGATCTCTGCGACAAACGGACCTTGGAATCGACGACTACGCCGAATTGAGAGAAAGCTTGCTCTAATGACTCATTGCTAGTGGACCATGCGAGTCCACCGACAAAGCATCTATACTCAACATCTGCAGCAGCCATTGATGCAAATTTTTTTTGCAGATGAGAAAACGAAAAGCTTAGAAGTGGAGAAGACGGAAGAAAACCCGCCTCAAAGAAAGTTGAGTGATGAAAGTTGCAGGGGGAATGGGGTGTTTATATAGACGGACGAGGCTAGGGTTTAGAGAGGGGAAGGTAAAGCCGTAAAGGATGTGCGCATTGCGCTTCTTTGTTTATCGCAACTAGGTTAAGGGGATCGGCTATGATTGCCTGTGTGTGTAGATATTTAGATATTTAAACTTTTATAAGACAAAATTACAACTGGAGTCCCCAAACCTTTACATATAAAGCAAATGGGTCTAAAGTTAATTTTCGCCTTCTTTAAGTTCTTAATGGAGGATAAGATCAACGTTTACATCAAAAAAATCACGAGGTTTGCACTCTATTCTATGTTCCACGACTAAAATAAAAACAATTCTGATCGCTATCTATAATAACTCTTTTTAATGTATTTAAAATAGTGATATGATAGAAAATGTGTGGTTAAAAAGTAAGAAAAAGTTATTGATATAATATAAAATATTATTTTATTGAAAAATGTGTGATTAAAAATAAATTTTGAAAGAATAACATACTCAACTTCGCATAACTTGAAACAAGAACCCAGCACAACGACTTAAGCCCCTGTTTGGTTTAGATAAAAATTATATTTTTAATAGATTTTATGAAAGTTGTGAATTCCATTAAATATATAGTTGAAAATTAAAAAAAAAAAAAAAAAAAAGTTTTAA